TGAACAAAGTCCTTCAAAATAAGAGCCTATATGATCTACTGGTTCTTTAAGTGAGTCTAACTGGTCAGTGCAAACCAACAGTTGGGGTCCGTCAGTGAGATCCAGGAGCCTCATACATGATTCAGAGAAATCACGATCATCCGACTGTTCCTGGAATATCTCAGCCCCCTGAGCAATTTCGAGCTCGATTTGTAAGAACTTTCTGGAATTTTTTCCTCTTTGAGCTTCTGAAAGACCTTCAGCATGCATCGCAGCCTTTCCTTTCATCAGTATCAACTGTTTGGAGGAATGTGACCCCATTTCTATTTCACTCAACTGCGTAATTATTTCTTTTTTAATATGCAGCATTATGATTCTGTTCATCGCTCACATATGGAAACGGAGCAAATAAACGCTGCAGAGGCTTGGATCTTTTTCTTTCCACATCTGTAGATGTTCATGAATCACATCTCATTGAGTGGGGGGTGCTCCTTCACCGACTTCCCAACTTTTATAATGAGTATTAAAATTATTCTAGGTCTGAGCTCTGGCTTTTCAGAGCTTTAAACTGCATTTAGAGGTCTTCTTTAACAAATGGAGACAAATTGAAGTCTTCAAGCACTTGGCTTCAGTCATGAAAAACAGAGTGGTCTAATGTAGTCCTTGGTTAAAACTTCTCTGGCTGATCTAAAATGGAAATAGTCATGAATTTGTACGCTCTTCATCTGATAGATGTTTCTGCAAAAGTAAGACTTTAGAGTATTTCGAAGAGTACATCATGCAAACACTCCGCTACATCTGCGATCAAAGTTCCCTCATTCGTAAAAGAAATAATAATTTGACTTCCACAGTGATCTGTATTTGGGTGAGACTGGCTTGATATACAGGAACCTCCAGGCAACCTGGACCTGGTTTTGAAGTAGATTTGATGGTAGATTTGATGAAAGGAGATGCTCTTTCATAGTGATTAATTAATGCAAGGACAAATGCAGTGTGAAAAGGGCAAAGAAAACTCAGTTCCGACAAAATCCCACAATAAAACAAACTTGCAAAGACTGGCTTCTTGACATGTTTGCATGAATTTAAAGCATGTTTGTCTAAAACCTGATTAATGCTTCTGTAACAGCCTGAATGATCCAACCTGGTGAGACTCGCTGCAAATACAGAGAGACTGCAGCTTTCAAAAACACATGTAAAAATGCAAAACTGGTGAAAACTGGCTTTAAATTAAAAAAATAAAATAAAATACCACATTAACAGCAAACGCACTTTTGACAGACAAATGGAAGAGCTCCAGGCCTGTCTGAGCTGGGAATCATAAATTTCTATAGATACTGAGACCTCTTAATGGTTTGAGTCCTTATCAATACTACTGTGGAATTTCTTCTGTTATTTTGTAAAAAAAAAAATCAAGAGGTAACTTTGCAAATCTATTATTCAGGACAGGTGCTTTTGAGGGCAGGGAATCTAGCAATTCATTCAAAAGGAAACACTGACAAATGGACTAATCTATTTTGTTTGCTTTTACTCTCTAAGATTATGATCATATGAAAGAAACGGATGCTTTCATCCCCTCTTTAGTTTGTCATGTTTGCGCAGACACCTTAGGACTTTGGTTGTTCAGACAGAAGGTCCATTCAGATCTGCTGGAAATCGCAATGTTTCTACAGAATTAGTTGGACAGATACAGCATGCTCCATGGATAGAAGATGATGTGTGTGAAATGGATTCAGGCTGGCTACGTTGTGACTCAAGAGATGATCAGAACACTGCAGACTATATTCGATCCACACGGATCCAGTATAATCAGCGTGTGGGTCAGTCTAAGACGTCAGAAAAAAAAAAAAAAGGTCTGAAAAACAGAAAGAAAAAGTTGCTAACAGCTTTTTTTTCCTGAAGTTATTGCAAAATGCTTCTGTAGCATGACATTGGAGTAAGTTAAGGCTCACAGATGCCTTAAACCTACAATCTTTGTTGACAGTTCAGTCTTTATCAGTGCAAAAGCTTAAAAGCACACCAGCAGTGGATGTATTGAGATGTCATTTCTTTGTGATGGAAGTCAAGCAGACTGCAAATCACTTTCAAAAAGTCCAATCAGAGCGTCCCGTGCCAAATGTTTGGCCTCTGCTTGGCCTAAACAGTAATAGCATTAGTTTGCCTCTGTAGTTCACAATGGAAATTTTTGAGGGAAAAGTAGATTACAATCAGAGTGACAGATAGAGATGCATATTTGTACTTCAGATCGAGTAATTATGAACATTAAAACCTCTGATTTCACTCTCATGTACAGTTTTGGTTGTGAAACATAAGAGGGCAGCACTTGACCCTCCCTCCCTCCCCCCAGATGTGATGTTTATGTATGTGCAAGATGCCCCAAAACAACAAAGAAAATGTGAAGTTACATCTTTTAAAAGCTACCCTGCTGGAATGATTTCATAGAAATAAATATGCTGCAGGTCCTGGGGGAGCTGGAGTCTGCTCTCTGAAAATGGGGGTGGGCAGCTGCTTGCAATTGAGACCAAAGTGCTCAGTGCCAGGAATGTCCCCAGTGCCTCAAAACAGAACAGAAAACACAACACAGCATTAGAGGCAGCAGAATGAGGGGGCTGAGAGGTTTTGGTTCCCTCGTCTATTTCATCACCCGTTTATTCCTTATGTGTAGGGGAATGTAACACGGACTGTCGAGGGGGCGAGGAAGGAGGGGCAGGAGGGTTACAAAAGACATCAACCAGTTTGACAGAGAGTGAGTGTCACGACTCTGAAGAAGCAAATAAAGACAAAACCAGACCACAGAACGCTGATTTAACATGAATTTGGGAGAGGATTTAAGTTTTAAACAGTGGCCATTTAAGAAGAGTTGATAGGTCTTATACATGAGAGACAGTATGCACATGATCAGTAGCACACAGGCAGAAGGGGGTGGTCAACAGTACAGCAGGTAGGCTACAACAATGATGGAACATAGACTGATGAACTGAGTCTGCAGAATTCCAAATCTGTATGTGTCAATGCCACATAACTCTGGGACTGTTCCATCTGTGCATTAAAAACGACAAAAAACAGGAAGGGGGGTTGCTGATGGTTCGTTCTGTACACTGTGACTCACCAGGCCACCAAAACCCAGAAGAGGAGGAAGATGAACTTTATACCCCTCAGAGTTCTTATGTCTTAAGTTTTATGCCATCATCAGAATCAACCCTCATATTAACCTTTATCATATCTTGTGTTTACATTCCTCAAAGCCAGACCTGGGGTCCGTTTCACGTAGGTGGTTCAACAAACTCTGAGTTAAATCCTTAACTCTGAGTTGATCTACTCTGAGTTAGGAAACTCTGAGTTTCCGGTTTCACAACACCTGGGGCCTGTTCTACGAAGCAGGTTCAACTTAGCGAGGTAGGCTTGGCGCTACCTCGCTCAACTTAGCGCGGTAGCCAGCGTTCTCGCTACACGGTTTTACAACGCTGGTTATCAACCTCATAAGTGGATCCAGCTCTGCTATGAGTGCGTGCACACATATAAGGCGGAGCCCGCCGCATCTGACCAATCACGAACATCGATCAGTCTGGAGCATCAGAGCAGGCTGGAGAGTGAAGGACTGCGGACTTTACAAACGAGGAACAGGAGACGATCATGAGAAAGTATGAAGAATTGAAAGCTATCATAAACCTCAAAAGCAACACCGTCGCCGCTGCAAAAGCACGGAGGGAATGCTGGCAGAAAAGTAATCTTTGATGCCATTATCACCCTGAAATAGCACTGTTCAACATGCGCTTTTAACTAAGGTGACAGTCCCCGAATTGGATGATCTGTCCTCGGCTAAAGCTGTCCCCGAAAATGTCCCTGATTTAAGCGTTTCATGAATGAGAACAAAAATGTTGCATGTGGGCAAGAACAACGGTTATTACAGTGGGTAGGAAGCACAAGTAAGCAGTCCTGAACAACAGTATTTACCGGGTTATTATAAGGGGCGTGCGCTGCTACTAAATAGTACCGAGATGTTGTCTGTGATCGCGCAGCCCATGTCCATTCATTCCCAAGATGAATCATTCATTTGTTCATTCCTATCGTGTTTACATGTTTTGTGTAATATGTCGGCCATATGAGCCTTTCATAAAGGTAGTCATCCGGAGAAAACTCTCCCTGAAAACTGTGCTCCTCCTCGGACAATGCGAGCACCGAGGTCTACAGGATCCTCCAAGAACGGACAAGCCGTTTTTCGAGAGAGCTCATTGGTCAGTGGGCGGGGTTTTTATACTCGGTGAGTTCAATCTGGAACTTAACCTGCCCTGGAGCAGTTTAGCCGTTCAGCGTATGTTGCTATGGAGACTCGCCCTGCTAAGAGGTGAACCCGCGTCGTAGAACAGGAAACCCCGAACTTATCCTCAAAGTTACCTCGCTAAGCAGTAATCCTGCTTCGTAGAACAGGCCCCTGATTTGAGACGGTTTTAACAACTCCGAGTAGTTTGACCTGGAGTTAAGCACGTGCACGCCAGACATAAACAGCCAGCATCTGTGGAGCGCAGATTCAATGATCAACCAATGGAAACAGGGAGAAGGAGGGGGCAGCAGCAAGCCAACAGCGAATTACAGCACGTTTTTAAAGGAAAGTGCAGTACAGCAGCAGCTGCAAAGGAGAGGGAGAGGGCTTGGGAGGAAATCGCTGCTCGCGTCAATGCGTAACTTTAAATCTAGTCTCGTGCCATCACAATGACAGACTGTTGCAGGGAAACTGCTTGAATCATTTTGATCATGTTTTACATTGTCAAGTAAGTATTAAGTGGCAGTTTGATCCCTTAGAAAATGCTCTTTTCACACTCAAAACTGAATTTTTCTCTCTTATGATGTTCCGTTAAATGATTAGGAATATTAAACTAACTCTCAGTATGTATATGTACATATATTAAACTAACACACACTACACTCAATATTAGACTTTCACTCAGCAAACAGAAAGAGGGCAGATGCCAGAAAAACGGGTGGTGGCCCAGCAGCCCCACCTTTAACGGAGGCAGAGGAGCTGCCCCCCCCCCCCCTTCGACGATCGCGGCCGGTCCGATCGCAAATCCCCCCCCCCCCCCCCCCCACTGTCACATGTGTGTGTGTGTGTCTGTGGGGGGGGGGATTTGCGATCGGACCGGCCGCGATCGTCGAACGGGGGTGGGGGCAGCTCCTCTGCCTCCGATAAAGGTGGGGCTGCTGGACCACCACCCGTTTTTGTGTTAGTTTAATATTCCTAGTCATTTAACGGAACATAACGAGAGTAAAATTCATTTTTGAGTGTGAAAAGAGCATTTTTTAAGGGATCAAACTGCCACTTAATACTTACTTGACAATGTAAAACATGATCAAAATGAGAAAATGCCGATGTCTCACCTGAAACTCTGGGTTTACTGAGTTAAACCTGCTCCCGAGCAGGTTAGGTTCACGGAGTCTGTTACTGTGGTAACTGACCGGGAGGTTGAGTTACCTCTCTTTGTGAAACAGGTTAGAGTTACCCCTCTCTCCCTGGTTTAACTAACCCTCCTTTGTGAAACGGGAAACTCAGAGTTTCCCTGATTTCAGGGTTAACAAACTCGGAGTTTCCATTAAACCTGCTACGTGAAACGGACCTCAGAACTCTCTGGTGTGCCCTCTAGAGGTATCCCCTGGTATGACACCTGTGTATTTAGTCAAGTATATCTACAATTATGCTCATGAAGCAGGCAGATGCAGCAGAAGTAGTTTGTCCCTGAGTGTTTCAGCGAGTGAGCAAACAGTCTGTGTTCAAGGAAAAGGAGGCGGCATGTGATTAAAAATTCTTGTTAGAAGACATGCCGTTTAAATATTGGGAATAATTTAATTTCTACATTCGTCTAATGAGCGTACAACACATAACAGGCCTGCACAGATGTCAGGATGAGAGAGAGCCCAATGTGGAAAGACACAGTGAGTGGTTGTGGGTTTTTTGTCTTGCTCAAGGGCATGTCAGTGCTGCCCAGTGTGGCAGGGGGGTGCTATTTTATTCAAAAATAGAGAATATTGTCTCCAACCAGCAACGCCACCTGGGGACTTGCACCCCAGGAAACTGAACTTTCAAACTAAAACAGGAAGCTAAAATAAGAATAAAGGCAACACAGGTAAGTTCTGAAGAGGCAGAGACAGAGTTCAAAATATTTCAAAATGTTTATTAGATAAAAAAAAATGAAGTTAAACGTAAATATAATTGAGAAATTTAACCTAGGAGGGAAAGAAAGGGATAAAGTTAAAACAACATAACAAAACACAGATAAGGGGCAAGAAAGTTAATTTTATTTCTATAATAAAATTTAAAACAAGGCCTTCTACAAAAGTTAAAAAGTACAATAACACCAACTTAAACTAAATCAAAGAAACCCAAACTAAGTTAACTTAAGATAAGCTGAGGCCACCAGAAGGGAGGCAGACTACAGAGGGAAAGTGCAGGGGGGTGCTCCCTTATACTCACCAAGTGAAGCACAGCACACACACTGCAAACCTTCAACAAAAGAAACAAATTGGTGTAGTCTTGTGACCCGGTGTCAACTCATGCAAAGGTGGAGGGCCCTCACCCGGGGTGCCTAGCCTCCCAAACTAGTGGGCTCAACCTCTGAAATAAAATAAAAGGATTAACCCAAGAAACAAACAAACAAACCAGCGAACCCAGTTGGTAGAACTAGAGGGAACTAAGGAGAAAAGCAACTAAGGGTAACTAAGAACAGAATGCAAACTAATGGGGGAGTAACTGTGTAAAACAACCAAACTTAGAAGTAGAAACAAACCAAGTAAGGGGGGAAACCAATCAAAAGGGCAGAAACAATCAAAGTAAACAGGCAAAAATAACTACAACTAGGGCCCCGTTGGGGCACTGGCGGGCCCGAGCTGTGTCGCGCCCCCCCCCCCCCCACCAATGCGCTGCCTCCCCGTCCCATTCGCGTCCTCTGGCCATCGTCCTCTCTGGTAACGCCCATCACTGCAAAGACCCTTTTCCTTCATCGGCGTTTGCTGTTCTTCCTGCCAGTGCGTGTTGCTTTCACTTACACTTGCCACAGCCAGCCTCGTGAGTGCCTAGCCTATTGGATATCACTGTCACCTACACAGGACAGTCATTACCTTTCTATTAATACTTTGTTTTTTAATTTCACATTAATTTCCATATTGTATAAACGACTGGAAAAAACTTGAGCCCCTGCCCCTGTATAATCATGTGCACGTCCCTGTTCTCGCTCCAAGGTGAATCTTCACTGCTCATGTTCTCCTCAGAAGCACTCACCTCACTCCCCTCAGGTAACTGTACACATGCACCAACTGCCTGCTTCAGGTTTGGATGGAGCTTCATGGTTGTCTTTTGGAGAAATGACCAGTCAAGTTGTGTTTGAAATTTGATTTTTTTCAGGGGCAAAAGGAGCCTCTGCATTGTTGTCAAATATGTAAATAGCATGTTTTTGCAGGTGCTAAAAAACAGACTCTGAGTGTGTGTGTGTGTGTGTGTGTGTGTGTGTGTGTGTGTGTGTGTGTGTGTGTGTGTGTGTGTGTGTCTGTGTTTGTGTGTGTCTGTGTGTGTGTATCCTGCAGTACTCTGTACTCCTGCAGTGGCCAAAACGACTTTTAAGAATGTGGATATTTGGGTCATCTTTGGCGCCCCCTAGAACGTAAACCATGGGGTGCAGCGGCATGATTTTTACAACTTTGAATGGCCATGGGATGTAGATCGGCTTGAGCAAATTTGGTGTCGGTGGGAAGAAAGCCTTAGGAGGAGTTAGCCACATTCCAATGTGTGCGAATCTGCAAAAAATGCGAAATAGCCCTTTAACCATACATTTTACAGATACGTGCCCATTGACTTTTTCGTAGATCTTATTGAGATACACGTGATTGTCAAATTTTGGGTCAATATGACAAAGCGTATAGGCGTGACACTCAACAATGTGTATTTTCACCTTAGGGGACAAGAAAAAATGGACTTTTTTCTCCTGCCATGTGGGGGCGCTCTTTTGGGGAGTAAAAATTCCTTCACAAATGTGTTGATGGCTGGACATTGCATCATCCTAGAGAACTTGGAGGCCAGTGAGGACAAAAATAAAAAGTTATAAGACTTTTAAGACTGTGGATTTTTGGGTTATCTTTGGCGCCCCCTAGAACGTAAACTGTGGGGTGCAGCGTCATGATTTGTACAACTTTTAATGGCCATGGGGTGTAGATTGGCCTGAGCAAATGTGGTGCCGGTGGAACGAATGCCTTCGGAGGAGTTAGCGAAATTCCAATGTGTGCAGATCGGCAAAAAATGCGAAATAACCCTCTAACTGTACATTTCACAGATGCGCCCGCGCTGACTTTTTCGTAGAACGTATTGAGATACACGTGTGTGTCAATTTTTGTGTCAATATGACAAAGCGTACAGGCGTGACAGTCAATAGTGTGAATTTTCGCCTTAGGGGGCGCTATGGAGCCATTTTGCATTTTATTGTTTGGGCGACTTCAGAATATCGAATTTTTCACCAGGCCCGGTCGTCCTGCCAAATTTCATGAGTTTTCGCCAGTGGGAAGTCGGCCATTTTCCAGTTTAAAGCGGAGGAAAAATAATAACTAGGGCCCCGTTGGGGCACTGGCGGGCCCGAGCCGTGTCGCACCCCCCCCCCCCCCAACGCGCTGCCTCCCCGTCCCATTCGTGTCCTCTGGCCATCGCCCTCTCTGGTAACGCCCATCACTGCAAAGACCCTTTTCCTTCATCGGCGTTTGCTGTTCTTCCTGCCAGTGTGTGTTGCTTTCACTTACACTTGCCACAGCCAGCCTCGTGAGTGCCTAGCCTATTGGATATCACTGTCACCTACACAGGACAGTCATACTTTGTTTTTTAATTTCACATTAATTTCCATATTGTATAAACGACTGGAAAAAACTTGAGCCCCTGCCCCTGTATTATCATGTGCACGTCCCTGTTCTAGCTCCAAGGTGAATCTTCACTGCTCATGTTCTCCTCAGAAGCAGTCACCTCACTCCCCTCAGGTTACTGTACACATGCACCAACTGCCTGCTTCAGGTTTGGATGGAGCTTCATGGTTGTCTTTTGGAGAAATGAGCAGTCAAGTTGTGTTTGAAATTTGATTTTTTTCAGGGGCAAAAGGAAGCCTCTGCATTCTTGTCAAATATGTAAATAGCATGTTTTTGCAGGTGCTAAAAAACAGACTCTGAGTGTGTGTGTGTGTGTGTGTGTGTGTGTGTGTGTGTGTGTGTGTGCGTGTGTGTCTGTGTGTGTGTGTGTGTGTGTATCCTGCAGTACTCTGAGAAGAATAATAAGCATATTTCTGAGGTGAATTTTGAAGATTCATCTGAGAGTTAGGTTTGATTCGATTCGATTGACGCTCCCCAGCGTTCAAGTCACATGACATATTTAACCGGATGTAGCTGCAAGACGGAGCCTCGTTAACTCTCCGTTTCAACTTATCTCAAAAGTGAGGACCTCAACCTATATACCAGTTTTTAAATTGTGTTGATAGGCCAAATAAAACCAGAGTTATGATAAATTATGTCCGCGATACTTTTTTTCTGCTTATTTTGATCACGTTCGGCGCTCGATCGCGCTGTATGAGACAGGAAAACATAGCATGCAGACATTAGCGACAGGTCTTACAGGCGGAAAAGGCTTGCCAAAAGAAAAAAAAAACACACCACAACATCTCTCCTATTGGTGGAAAACTTCACCACAACAACCAATCCAAAATTATATGGTGACTGATTGACAAGGGGCGGGCGCTTACGTTCTTCCTGCAATATGAGAAGGGAGGGAGGGACTCTCAGCAGGGATGCAGTCTGGGACACGTAGTTGCAAACCTAGCGACTGTGTTGTTAGATTCAATTACTTTTCAGACCCCCTAACGACTTTTTTTAGAAAGAAAGGGACTTTTATCGACTTCTTCTGGAGTTTAGAGACTCTGACATGAAGCAGGCTTTCCTTACTGAGGAGTTAGCAACGCTGCTAAGGGTGCAGAGCCACACATGCGCTCCGAGCTCTGCATGGGAGACTGAAGCTGACAGAGCTGCAGCAGTTAGCAGGTTTCACCCTCAGAGACCACCAGGGGTTCATGTTGAGGCATTTTCAGTTTTTGTTTTTTTTGCCATAGACTGTCAGCACAATCTGCAGTTACACTAACAAAAATGCTGCAAAAAACAAAGAATTATGGAAAAATTACACACGGACTGACATAGAGGAGGATCTACACAAGTTTTTTACATCATGTTTTACATCATGCATCATTTACATCATGTTTTTTTGTAGTGGCATAAATAAAAAGTGACATTTGTGAGACTATACAGTGTTTTGTAAATAATTTTACAAAGAACGCCTGGGCCATTGCCTGCATTTTGATGTAAATAGAGGTAAATTACTATGTTCTTTGTTAAAAATTTGCATATGTTTTGAAGTTTACAATTTTTATTTGAAGTTTAAGTTTTAAAAACAGTTCATCACACATATTTGTGTTTTAATTTCACATTAATTTCCATATTGTATAAATGACTGGAAAAATCTTGAGCCCCTGCCCCTGTATTATCATGTGCACGTCCCTGTTCTAGCTCCAAGGTGAATCTTCACTGCTCATGTTCTCCTCAGAAATAGTCACCTCACTCCCCTCAGGTTACTGTACACATGCACCAACTATCTGCTTCAGGTTTGGATGGAGCTTCATGGTTGTCTTTTGGAAAAATGAACAGTCAAGTTGTGTTTGAAATCTGATTTTTTTCAGGGGCAAAAGGAAGCCTCTGCATTCTTGTCAAATATGTAAACAGCATGTTTTTGCAGGTGCTAAAAAACAGACTCTGAGTGTGTGTGTGTGTGTGTGTGTGTGTGTGTGTGTGTGTGTGTGTGTGTGTGTGTGTGTATGTGTGTGTATCCTGCAGTACTCTGTACTCCTGCAGTGGCCAAAAAGACTTTTAAGAATGTGGATTTTTGGGTCATCTTTGGCGCCCCCTAGAACTGCAGTACTCTGTACTCCTGCAGTGGCCAAAATGACTTTTAAGAATGTGGATTTTTGGGTCATCTTTGGCGCCCCCTAGAACGTAAACCGTGGGGTGCAGCGTCATGATTTTTACAACTTTGAATGGCCATGGGATGTAGATCGGCTTGAGCAAATTTGGTGTTGGTGGGACGAAAGCCTTAGGAGGAGTTAGCGAAATTCCAATGTGTGCGGATCGGGAAAAAATGCGAAATAGCCCTTTAACCATACATTATACAGATACGCGCTCTTTGACTTTTTCGTAGATCTTATTGAGATACACGTGATTGTCAAATTTTGTGTCAATATGACAAAGCGTTCAGGCGTGACACTCTACAATGTGTATTTTCATGTTAGGGGACAAGAAAAAATGGACTTTTTTCACCTGCCATGGGGGGGCGCTCTTTTGGGGAGTAAAAATTCCTTCACAAATGTGTTGATGGCTGGACATTGCATCATCCTAGAAAACTTGGAGGCCAGTGAGGACAAAAATAAAAAGTTATAAGACTTTTAAGACTGTGGATTTTTGGGTTATCTTTGGCGCCCCCTAGAACGTAAACCGTGGGGTGCAGCGTCATGATTTGTACAACTTTTAATGGCCATGGGGTGTAGATTGGCCTGAGCAAATTTGGTGCCGGTGGAACGAAAGCCTTCGGAGGAGTTAGCGAAATTCCAATGTGTGCGGATCGGCAAAAAATGCAAAATAGCCCTTTAACGGTACATTTGACAGATACGCCCGCACTGACTTTTTTGTAGGTCTTATTGAGATACACATGTGTGTCAAATTTTGTGTCAATTTGACAAAGCGTACAGGCGTCAGGTGAATTTTCACCATAGGGGGCGCTATGGAGCCATTTTTCATTTTTTTGTTTGGACGACTTCAGAATATCAAATTTTTCACCAGGCCCGGTCGTCCTGCCAAATTTCCTGAGTTTTCGCCAGTGGGAAGTGGGCCATTTTCCAGTTTAAAGCGGAGGAAAAATAACGAAACTAGGGCCCCGTTGGGGCACTGGCGGGCCCGAGCCGTGTCGTGCCGCCCCCAGCGAGACCGCCTTCCCGTCCCATTTGCGTCCTCTGGCCGTCGCCCTCTCTGGTAACGCCCATCACTGCAAAGACCCTTTTCCTTCATCGGTGTTTGCTGTTCTTCCTGCCAGTGCGTGTTGCTTTCACTTACACTTGCCACAGCCAGCCTCGTGAGTGCCTAGCCTATTGGATATCACTGTCACCTACACAGGACAGTCATTACCTTTCTATTAATACTTTGTTTTTAATTTCACATTAATTTCCATATTGTATAAATGACTGGAAAAAACTTGAGCCCCTGCCCCTGTATAATCATGTGCACGTCCCTGTTCTAGCTCCAAGGTGAATCTTCACTGCTCATGTTCTCCTCAGAAGCAGTCACCTCACTCCCCTCAGGTTACTGTACACATGCACCAACTGCCTGCTTCAGGTTTGGATGGAGCTTCATGGTTGTCTTTTGGAGAAATGAGCAGTCAAGTTGTGTTTGAAATTTGATTTTTTTCAGGGGCAAAAGGAGCCTCTGTATTCTTGAGAGTCTGAGTGTGTGTGTGTGTGTGTGTGTGTGTGTGTGTGTGTGTGTGTGTGTGTGTGTGTGTGTGTGTGTCCTGCAGTACTCTGAGAAGAATAATAAGCATATTTCTGAGGTGAATTTTGAAGATTCATCTGAGAGTTAGGAGGGCTGATCATTCCCTTACCCTTTAGATGTCTGTCTATGTCTGTTTTTGTGTGATAATGAAAGAATCCCAACTCAAAAAGGCTCTGTTGATGTTTTTTTTTTGTTGTTCATTCATATTCAAACCACTATTTTATATCACTGCTAATACGCCAAGACCATTTTATGGTATTTAGCTTTATTATTTCTATACATTTTGCAAGGAAAGAAACCAAGGCCTTCACTAAAATTTCCATAAACTTTAGGAAAGGACCTCTGGTTGTTTAAGGGGGTCATTACTGCAAAAACATATTCTTCCTAAATTTTGAAGGTCAAAGCTTAGATTCATTAGGTTTAAATAGAAAAAGCATTTAAATATGTTAGGATTATAGCATATGACAAATGTGTGCCTCTCAGTGGCCATAACTACTTTGTCTGCTGGCTCTGCAGTCGATTGACGTTCCCCAGCGTTCAAGTCACATGACATATTTAACCGGATGTAGCTGCAAGACGGAGCCTCGTTGATTCTCCGTTTCAACCTGTCTTAAAAGTGAGGACCTCAAACTATATACCAGTTTTTAAATTGTGTTGATAGGCCAGATAAAACCAGAGTTATGATAAATTATGTCTGCGATACTTTTTTTCTACTTATTTTGATCACGTTCGGCGCTCGATCGCGCTCTATGAGACAGGAAAACATAGCATGCAGACATTAGCGACAGCTCTTACAGGCGGAAAAGACTTGCCAAAAGAAAAGAAAAAAAACACACCACAACATCTCTCCTATTGTTGGAAAACTTCACCACAACAACCAATCCAAAATTATATGGTGACTGATTGACAAGGGGCGGGCGCTCGCGTTCTTCCTGCAACTTGAGAAGGGAGGGAGGGACTCTCAGCAGGGATGCAGTCTGGGACACGTAGTTGCAAACCTAGCGACTTTGTTGTTAGATTCAATGACTTTTCAGACCCCCTAATGACTTTTTTTTAGAAAGAAAGGGACTTTTATCGACTTCTTCTGGAGTTCTGGAGTTTAGAGACTCTGACATGAAGCAGGCTTTCCTTACTGAGGAGTTAGCAACGCTGCTAAGGGTGCAGAGCCACACATGCGCTCCGAGCTCTGCATGGGAGACTGAAGCTGACAGAGCTGCAGCAGTTAGCAGGTATCACCCTCAGAGACCACCAGGGGTTCATGTTGAGGCATTTTCAGTTTTTTTTTTTTTTTTTTGCCATAGACACTGTCAGCACAATCTGCAGTTACACTAACAAAAATGCTGCAAAAAACAAAGAATTATGGAAAAATTACACATGGACTAACATAGAGGAGGATCTACACAAGTTTTTTACATCATGTTTTACATCATGCATCATTTACATCATGTTTTTTTGTAGTGGCATAAATAAAAAGTGACATTTGTGAGACTATACAGTGTTTTGTAAATAATTTTACAAAGAACGCCTGGGCCATTGCCTGCATTTTGATGTAAATAGAGGTAAATTACTATGTTCTTTGTTAAAAATTTGCATATGTTTTGAAGTTTACAATTTTTATTTGAAGTTTAAGTTTTAAAAACAGTTCATCACACATATTTGTGGTTTTCACAGTAAAAACGTTACTTTTTTCCACTCGGATTTTATGTTTTGTGTGTGAATTTGGGTCCAATGTGTAAATATAGTTTGTCAAAATGATAAAATAACTGTAAATTGACACAGGTGAGGTTGTGCTGAAAAAAATGATACCAGGCAAGGCAAGGTAAAAATTTTGTAAGAGGAAATATAAAGGTAAAATCTAAAGTAGTCAAAAACGGCCAATAGTGACTCACAGACTCCACAGACAAGTCCCTTTGGCGCCACTCAGTGGGCAAAACTACTTTGTCTACTGTAATGTATATTTGGGTCATCTTTGGCGCCCCCTAAAACGTAAACCGTGGGGTGCAGCGTCATGATTTTTACAACTTTGAATGGCCATGGAGTGTAGATTGGCCTGAGCAAATTTGGTGTCAGTGGGACGAAAGCCTTCGGAGGAGTTAGCGAAATTCCAATGTGTGCGAATCGCCAAAAAATGCAAAATAGCCCTTTAACTGTACATTTTACACTTACGTGCCCATTGACTTTTTCATAGATCTTATTGAGATACACGTGATTGTCAAATTTTTTGTCAATATGACAAAGCGTAAAGGCGTGACACTCAACAACGTGTATTTTCACCTTTCGGGACAAGAAAAAATGGACTTTTTTCTCCTGCCATGGGGGGGCGCTCTTTTGGGGAGTAAAAATTTCTTCACAAATGTGTTGATGGCTGGACATTGCATCATCCTAAAAAACTTGGAGGCCAGTATGGAAAAAGATAAAAAGTTATAAGACTTTTAAGAATGTGGATTTTTGGGTTATATTTGGTGCCCCCTAGAACCCAAACCGTGGGGTGCAGCAAGATGATTTGTACAACTTTTAATGGCCATGGGGTGTAGATTGGCCTGAGCAAATTTGGTGCCGGTGGAAAGATAGCCTTCGGAGGAGTTAGCGAAATTCCAATGTGTGCGGATCGGCAAAAAATGCAAAATAGCCCTTTAACCGTACATTTGACAGATACATGCCCTTTGACTTTTTTGTAGATCTTATTGAGATACACGTGATTGTCAAATTTTGTGTCAATATGACAAAGCATACAGGCGTGACACTCGACAATATGTATTTTCACCTTAGGAGACAAGAAAAAATTGACTTTTTTCTCCTGCCATGGGGGGGCGCTCTTTTGTGGAGTAAAAATTCCTTCACACATGTGTTGATGGCTGGACATAGCATCATCCTAGAAAACTTGGAGGCCAGTGAGGACAAAAATAAAAAGTTATAAGACTTTTAAGAATGTGGATTTTTGGGTTATCTTTGGCGCCCCCTAGAACATAAACCGTGGGGTGCAGCGTCATGATTTGTACAACTTTGAATGGCCATGGGGTGTAGATTGGCCTGAGCAAATTTGGTGCCGGTGGAACGAAAGCCTTCGGAGGAGTTAGCGAAATTCCAATGTGTGCGGATCGGCAAAAAATGCGAAATAGCCCTTTAACCGTACATTTGACAGATACGCCCGCACTGACTTTTTTGTAGATCTTATTGAGATACACATGTGTGTCAAATTTTTTGTCATTTTGACAAAGCGTACAGGCGTCAGGTGAGTTTTCACCATAGGGGGCGCTATGGAGCCATTTTTCATTTTTTTGTTTGGGCGACTTCAGAATATCAAATTTTTCACCAGGCCCGGTCGTCCTGCCAAATTTCCTGAGTTTTCGCCAGTGGGAAGTGGGCCATTTTCCAGTTTAAAGCGGAGGAAAAATAACGAAAGAAGAATCCATCAGGAACAAGAGGGCTCTCGCAGCTGCTTAGCAGCTACGCTCGGGCCCTAAGAAGAATCCATCAGGAACAAGAGGGCTCTCGCAGCTGCTTAGCAGCTACGCTCGGGCCCTAATAATAACACTAGGGCCCCGTTGGGGCACTGGCGGGCCCGAGCCGTGTCGCGCCGCCCCCCCCCCCCAACGCGCTGCCTCCCCGTCCCATTCGTGTCCTCTGGCCATCGCCCTCTCTGGTAACGCCCATCACTGCAAAGACCCTTTTCCTTCATCGGCGTTTGCTGTTCTTCCTGCCAGTGCGTGTTGCTTTCACTTACACTTGCCACAGCCAGCCTCGTGAGTGCCTAGCCTATTGGATATCACTGTCATCTACACAGGACAGTCATTACCTTTCTATTAATACTTTGTTTTTTAATTTCACATTAATTTCCATATTGTATAAATGACTGGAAAAAACTTGAGCCCCTGCCCCTGTATAATCATGTGCACGTCCCTGTTCTAGCTCCAAGGTGAATCTTCACTGCTCATGTTCTCCTCAGAAGCAGTCACCTCACTCCCCTCAGGTTACTGTACACATGCACCAACTGCCTGCTTCAGGTTTGGATGGAGCTTCATGGTTGTCTTTTGGAGAAATGACCAGTCAAGTTGTGTTTGAAATTTGATTTTTTTTCAGGGGCAAAAGGAGCCTCTGCATTCTTGTCAAATATGTAAATAGCATGTTTTTGCAGGTGCTAAAAAACAGACTCTGAGTGTGTCTGTGTGTGTGTGTGTGTGTGTGTGTGTGTGTGTGTGTGTGTGTGTGTGTGTGTGTCTGTGTGTGTGTATATATCTTGCAGTACTCTGAGAAGAATAATAAGCATATTTCTGCGGTGAATTTTGAAGATTCATCTGAGAGTTAGGAGGGCTGATCATTCCCTTACCCTTTAGATGTCTGTCTATGTCTGTTTTTGTGTGATAATGAAAGAATCCCAACTCAAAAAGGCTCTGTTGATGTTTTTTTTTTGTTGTTCATTCATATTCAAACCACTATTTTATATCACTGGCTAATACGCCAAGACCATTTTATGGTATTTAGCTTTATTATTTCTATACATTTTGCAAGGAAAGAAACCAAGGCCTTCACTAAAATTTCCATAAACTTTAGGAAAGGACCTCTGGTTGTTTAAGGGGGTCATTACTGCAAAAAAATATTCTTCCTAAATTTTGAAGGTCAAACCTTAGATCCATTAGGTTTAAATAGAAAAAGCATTAAAATATGTTAGGATTATAGCATATGACAAATGTGTGCCTCTCAGTGGCATAACTACTTTGTCTGCTGGCTCTGCAGTCGATTGACGCTCCCCAGCGTTCAAGTCACATGACATATTTAACCGGATGTAGCTGCAAGACGGAGCCTCGTTCACCCTCCGTTTCAACTTATCTCAAAAGTGAGGACCTCAAACTATATACCAGTTTTTAAATTGTGTTGATAGGCCAAATAAAACCAGAGTTATGATAAATTATGTCCGCGATACTTTTTTTCTGCTTATTTTGATCACGTTCGGCGCTCGATCACGCTGTATGAGACAGGAAAACATAGCATGCAGACATTAGCGACAGCTCTTACAGGCGGAAAAGGCATGCCAAAAGAAAAAAAAACACACCACAACATCTCTCCTATTGGTGGAAAACTTCACCACAACAACCAATCCAAAATTATATGGTGACTGATTGACAAGGGGCGGGCGCTTACGTTCTTCCTGCAATATGAGAAGGGAGGGAGGAACTCTCAGCAGGGATGCAGTCTGGGAAACGTAGTTGCAAACCTAGCGACTTTGTTGTTAGATTCAATGACTTTTCAGACCCCCTAACGACTTTTTTTTAGAAAGAAAGGGACTTTTATCGACTTCTTCTGGAGTTTAGAGACTCTGACATGAAGCAGGCTTTCCTTACTGAGGAGTTAGCAACGCTGCTAAGGGTGCAGAGCCACACATGCGCTCCGAGCTCTGCATGGGAGACTAGAGCTGAGAGAGCTGCAGCAGTTAGCAGGTTTCACCCTCAGAGACCACCAGGAGTTCATGTTGAGGCATTTTTAGTTTTTTTTTTTTTTTGCCATAGACACTGTCAGCACAATCTGCAGTTACACTAACAAAAATGCTGCAAAAAACAAAGAATTATGGAAAAATTACACATGGACTGACATAGAGGAGGATCTACACAAGTTTTTTACATCATGTTTTACATCATGCATCATTTACATCATGTTTTTTTGTAGTGGCATAAATAAAAAGTGACATTTGTGAGACTATACAGTGTTTTGTAAATAATTTTACAAAGAACGCCTGGGCCATTGCCTGCATTTTGATGTAAATAGAGGTAAATTACTATGTTCTTTGTTAAAAATTTGCATATGTTTTGAAGTTTACAATTTTTATTTGAAGTTTAAGTTTTAAAAACAGTTCATCACTCATATTTGTGGTTTAATTTCACATTAATTTCCATATTGTATAAATGACTGGAAAAAACTTGAGCCCCTGCCCCTGTATAATCATGTGCACGTCCCTGTTCTAGCTCCAAGGTGAATCTTCACTGCTCATGTTCTCCTCAGAAGTAGTCACCTCACTCTCCTCAGGTTACTGTACACATGCACCAACTATCTGCTTCAGGTTTGGATGGAGCTTCATGGTTGTCTTTTGGAGAAATGAACAGTCAAGTTGTGTTTGAAATTTGATTTTTTTCAGGGGCAAAAGGAAGCCTCTGCATTCTTGTCAAATATGTAAACAGCATGTTTTTGCAGGTGCTAAAAAACAGACTCTGAGTGTGTGTGTGTGTGTGTGTATGTGTGTGTGTGTGTGTGTGTGTGTGTGTGTGTGTGTGTGTTGGCGTGTGTGTATATGTGTGTGTGTCCGGCAGTACTCTGTACTCCTGCAGTGGCCAAAAAGACTTTTAAGAATGTGGATTTTTGGGTCATCTTTGGCGCCCCCTAGAACTGCAGTACTCTGTACTCCTGCAGTGGCCAAAATGACTTTTAAGAATGTGGATTTTTGGGTCATCTTTGGCGCCCCCTAGAACGTAAACCGTGGGGTGCAGCGTCATGATTTTTACAACTTTGAATGGCCATGGGGTGTAGATTGCCCTGAGCAAATTTGGTATCGGTGGGACGAAAGCCTTAGGAGGAGATAGCCACATTCCAATGTGTGCGAATCGGCAAAAAATGCGAAATAGCCCTTTAACCATACATTTGACAGATACGTGCCTATTGACTTTTTTGTAGATCTTATTGAGATACACGTGATTGTCAAATTGTGTGTCAATATGACAAAGTGTATAGGCGTGACACTCAACAATGTGTATTTTTACCTTAGGAGACAAGAAAAAATGGACTTTTTTCTCCTGCCATGGGGGGGCGCTCTTTTGGGGAGTAAAAATTCCTTCACAAATGTGTTGATGGCTGGACATTGCATCATCCTAGAAAACTTGGAGGCCAGTGAGGACAAAAATAAAAAGTTATAAGACTTTTAAGAATGTGGATTTTTGTGTTATCTTTGGCGCCCCCTAGAAAGTAAACCGTGGGGTGCAGCATCATGATTTGTACAACTTTTAATGGCCATGGGGTGTAGATTGGCCTGAGCAAATTTGGTGCCGGTGGAACGAAAGCCTTCGGAGGAGTTAGCGAAATTCCAATGTGTGCGGATCGGCAAAAAAAGCGAAATAGCCCTTTAACCGTACATTTGGCAGATACGCCCGCACTGACTTTTTCGTAGATCTTATTGAGATACACATGTGTGTCAAATTTTGTGTCATTTTGACAAAGCGTACAGGCATCAGGTGAGTTTTCACCATAGGGGGCGCTATGGAGCCATTTTTCATTTTTTTGTTTGGGCGACTTCAGAATATCAAATTTTTCACCAGGCCCGGTCGTCCTGCCAAAGTTCCTGAGTTTTCGCCAGTGGGAAGTGGGCCATTTTCCAGTTTAAAGCGGAGGAAAAATAACGAAAGAAGAATCCATCAGGAACAAGAGGGCTCTCGCAGCTGCTTAGCAGCTACGCTCGGGCCCTAAAAAGAAGAATCCATCAGGAACAAGAGGGCTCTCGCAGCTGCTTAGCAGCTACGCTCGGGCCCTAATTAATGGGGGCAACAAAACAGCAGCAGGTCTACCACCAGCACTCTGAGCAGATCAGAAGGCCGACTGCAGGTGAGCTGCTGCCTTTTGTTCAGCTGACCTGATTAGGGGAAGGGAGGGGTTAGAGGAGGAGGGAGAGCTGCATTCAATAGCAGCAAGGTGCTGCCTGCCACACCAGGAAGACAACTGGTACATCTCCATCTACAAGCTTAGTTTTCTATCGACAATGGGATTTGACTTCTGACTCTCTGTTTCCCACACCAATTCCCAACAGACTGAGCCACTGCTGCCCAAAGGGTTGGTCAAAGCTTCTTTAGAGGAAACCATAGCCAGATGGTAGCTGATTGGTTCTGGGTTTGACTCTAACCTACATGAGCAGCAGTCTCCTGTGTCCCCAGGTAAAAGAGCTTTTTGGCACTGCCCTGAAAAGATGTCACAAATACTGGTTAAATGCAAACACAAGGATTAAAACATGAAAAATGTAACTGGTGGATCATAAAAAGTCTAAGTGGAGGGTATTACTCTCTGTTTACAATTTTCTTTTCCCTCTTGCTCCTTTTTGTGCTTTTTCTCAAGCACATGTAACCATTTATCTGTTTTTAATTTCCGCCCATTTCCCTGTGTTTCATTTTCTATTTTCATCACTATATATTTTTTCATGTTGATGAAACTAAGAGCTTGGAGAAGGGAAAGAGCTGGCCACACTGTGTCCAAGCATTAACGTATTCTATTCTGGGATCATGAACACCTCCGAGATACTGAAAGAGACCATTAACCTATCAGAGAAAAGTCACTGTGTTGTATCCCCTCAGAGATGTTAGACTTCTCTGTGGGAGTAGTTTGGACTTGAGGAGTGGGATGTGTTAAACAGAGCCAGGGGGATTCAATGTTGTAACAAATATGAACAGGAACTGAATAAACCAGGAAGAAAGCAGATTTTAATGGCTGCATTTAAATATGTGTGTGTTTGTTTCTGCATGTATTAGAGTGCAAATTGAAGTTAGTGCACATGTTGGAGAGCTCAGAGTGAAGCCTTGTTTAACACTTGGTCGACCAGAATTCTGAAACTACGAGAATGACCATGGCAGTCATTTTGACCACTCAATCCTTATTTGCATATATTTTGGATAATAAATAAAAATAATTTATAAATTGTTAGAAAAGATAAAAAACACATCAAGATACAAAATGAAAATTATAATGGATGAGATTTGTTTTTTGACACCAACATACCTACTATAAAATTACATGTGCACACTCAAACTGAATTCCTTTTCTTTGTGAAATAAAAACAAATTTACCCTGCCTTCAAAATAGCTTGGTGTCATCATAAGACCTTGAAAACAATGAAAAGTCAACTGGTTGTAGAACAATGTTGTCATGACAATACAACAAATTGATATCTTTCACTATTAAACAGAAACTGGATTCCTATCAGCAACTTTGCTGAATTTCTTGAACTTCATGAACGGTCAAAAATACTCGCAGCCATCACAGGTAACCTGTACCTTCCATGTGCAGTTCCCACAGACTACCTCTCCACATTGGACTCAAGTATCCTTTGCTTTGTTTTTCTTGCACTTTCTTTGCAGTTGGCACTGCCTTCTCCTCTGCATCTTCTGCTGCTCCAGCTGGGGCTCTCGCACCATGGCTGGCATGTCTGGCTTTTGTAGTCATGTGCCCAGAGCGGAGTTCATTTGCGAGACACATTATGAAGTTCCTCCGTGACATCATCTCATTGGTGCATTTTTGAACAGCATTTATTGCAGCCAGGTCAAGAATATTGTAAAACACCACCAGTGGCCATCTTCGTGTAGATGCTTTTATTGAGTATTTCCTCGCCATTTGATCAAGCACATCGACTCCAACCTTAGTTCTGCTGTAGTATATGACAGTCTCCGGTTTAGCTTTGTGGCCATTTGTGATGACAACAGCCTTGTGGACAGTGCTTAGAATGCAGACATTTTTCCTAGGTTTGCATTGATAGACTGTTAGTGTTGCACTGTCACATTACAGCATCTCTGAAGTGTGCAGTGCCCTTTTCTCTTCTACAGATAGAGGAAACTCTCGTCTGCTCTTATTTACCATGCCAACCAGGCTGGTTTTCTTGGCCTATAGTGCCTTGGAAAGTTCAAGGGATGTAAAGAAATTATCAGTGGTGATGTTCCTCCCCTTTCCAAAGAAAGGCTCAGCTAATTTCAACACCACACTGTCTCCCAGGATTGCTGTCCTGGCCTCTGTGTCTCATCTTTGCCCAGATATGGCACACCATTCAGCATGTATTTGGTATCAGCAGCACTCCAGAACTTGATACCAAATTTATCAGGTTTGCTTGCTATGTCCTGGATGAAGCTGCACCTTGCTTTTGTTGGGAAGGGCTGCTCATCGACAGTTATATCAGCACCTTTGTAGCAAGCCATGCAGTTCTGGATGAGTCTCTCCCAAACTTCAGATACCAGGGCAAACTTGTTATTCTGCAGACAGGTGGACCTAGTCTCCTTTTTGTCAAAATGCAGGAATCACAAGATTTCCTGGAATCTGTTTCGGGACATGGTCTCCTTGAAAAATGCACAGCCCAGGTCAGCTGACCAAAAGCTTGCCCAGTCCATGCCTTTTCCACCCTATGCACCATGAATGTAGATTAGAGTAATGGAGGCTTTTAGCTCATCAACAGTCATATCCCATGAACTTTCCTTTTTGACTCTGTGTGCCTCAGTAATGGTGCAGGGCCTGATGTGTTTCAGCACGAAATCATCAACCAAACACAGAAAAGAGGTGATGGCATCCTCACTGTGCTGTGGGGCCTTCAGCTTCCGTTAACAACATTGTGACTTTGACAGCTTCCGCTGCTTTCACTGGACTGTATTACAGTCCACACTGTGCCATCTTTTGCTGTTTCATGCCTCTGTGTTGAAGGTTGCGGGACAGCTTCTTCATCCAATAGCAGTGATCTTGTGGTTGGCACAATAGGTTCTGCTGAAGTTTCAGGATGTTGCACTGTCACCAAAATGTGACTATGCAAAAATTATTACATTGGTAAAACTAATTAGTTTTATTTCATGGAGTATTCAACTTATCAGGCATTTTCATTGTCATCTATCTATCTATCTATCTATCTATCTATCTATCTATCTATCTATCTATTTTCCTCCTAGTTTGCATTTTTGAATCTCTTGAATCAGATCTCCTTTGTGTTTTGAAATTTCAATGATAAAACAATGTTTTTCACCTGAAACCATGAAGCGTTTTGGTTGTGGAGCAGAAAATCATCTGGGGCCTCATGTATCAACGCTTGCGGCGCAAAAAATCGGCGCACACGTCCAGATTTATCATCGCGAAACGAGCGTCGGTTCCAGCGCTAGTCAACGCAAAGTCAGGAGGTGGTGTAGAAATTGGCGTTGAGCTGGATATTTGCGTTGACTGTGATTCACATTTGGCGACGCTGTGTGGCGGTGTTTGGTGACTCACTATGTGACAAGCGTGCACCACATCCCCGTGGCCGAGCAGCACGTCGCCCCACATGACGAACCAGCAGCAGACGGAGGGATGCGAGCTGATCCCTGCCGGGCCGCCGTCCTCGCGCGGGAGAATCTCATCGCCACAGTGTGAATGGGTAAGAAGTGAATACACAGTTCAATGAGCCAAATTAATTTATTTTCTCCACCAGACGCTCGAGGAAATTTACGAGCCGGTCCAGCCGCTCGTTGGTCCCCGCGATCCTTCTGATGATTTCTTCCTGCGATTGCAGGACCCCCTCCGCGAGGACCCTTCCACTGCGTCCGGGTGGTCCAGCGGAAGCGCCGCGGCTGGTGGACGCTCCACTGCTTGTCGGCGCGCTGGTGCTGATGCTGGTGCTGGGGCCGGGGGCCGGGGTGGCCCGAATGCCGCTGGTCCTGGCCGACGACTCCGAGCCGGCGGACGGGCTGCCGCGGGCCAGGGCTCCGCAAGCCGGCGACACGACCGACACATTAATTTCTGTGACACAATAAAAATATTAGTTCATTTCAATTCCTGCTTCTGTGTATCTGTTGCGTTTACATCTCTCTCCACGGTATCATAGGTAATGTAATCCAGTATTTCGAGGTCAGTTATGCACATTACAGTTGTTTATTGCATAAAAAGTTATCGAAAAATGAAGTTAAGGGCGAAGTATAAATCACGTCTAAAAATAGACTGAATCCCGACGTTGAAATGAAGTATAAACTTAGACTAGACGTCTAATATACGTCTTTTGCTCAGTGGGATGACAAAGCATGTGGACATTTGTGTGACACGCCACTTACCCTATAGTAATAATCGCCACCACCCGCTGCTCAAACGGTGTGAGGGTCTCCTTCCCCGGACCCCCACCTGTCTGGCCGGTACTCCTCCGGAGGGCAGCTGTATGCCGCTTGACCTCCACCTTGAGGTCCGACCACTTTTTTTTTAATCGTCGCGGGGGTGCGTGTCTCGGAACCCACCGCATTCACCCTCTCGCAAACTTTCTCCCACTCCAAGCGTTTTTGTTTTGCACTGACGCCACTGGACAGGCTGCCAAACAAAACACGCTGTCGCTCCTCCACCTCCGCCACCAGCACCTCCACCTCGCACGCCGTAAATGTAGTTTTTCTTGTCATTTTGTCTGCGTGCGAGGACAGGGAGACCCTATTTAAATAAATCTGCATATTTATAGGAGGGCGTAACGGGGACGGGCCCAGTCACTCCGACATCTGCGCTCAATTCCACGCTGATTGGGATTTATCAAGGAAACACACGTGGATTTCGGCGCCCGCACACATTGATACATACGGATTTTTTTCAGCGTGACGGACCTTGCGTGCGCTCGTTTCTGGTATGAGTTCCACGCAAGTGTTGATACATGAGGCCCCTGGTCCGATCACGCAGAAAGAAAAGCGAAGCACAGCAGCAAGATGCTGCTGCTGGCTAAGGAAGCTAAAGTTAAGCTGAGGTGAATGCTGGCGAGGTTTTATATTTAATGTTGACGGTTTGAAATCATTGTTTTCACTATTGCAGAAAACATTAAATGTTTTGGTTGTGGAACAAAGAATCATCTGGCCCAATCATGTCAGAAAAAATGTGAAGCACAGCAGCAAGACACTGGCCCTCATTTATCAAGCTTGCGTACGGCAGAAAACTTGCATACACCTTGCGTACGCAAATTTTGACATGAGGATCGGCATTTATCAATCTTCACGTGAGCGTACGCTTCAACCAAATCTCACGACAGGTCTGACATTGTGTACGCAAGTTTGTATGAGTGCAGATTTGCGGTGCAGCAAATGTCCGTCTCGAAATAATTGATAAACAAACCTCAAAACTGTCATTAATCACAATCAGCCAGATTTCATTAAAGATTAAGACGTAAACAAAATAAAATAAAATATATTTGTAATGTCCTTGGTGAATAGGCCTATTTGATAACTCTGCCCAGAAACACTGCCACAGAGCAGGAGCACCGTTTTAACACTACACACACACGCACACATGCACACACGCCACTGTGGAGCGCTGCATTTGACTCCTAAAAGGCAGATGTCTCTGTCTTGGCCCAGCAGCGGGAACGTTGTTGTATACCCCTGAAAGAGTGTGGGACATCATTTGGGCCAGTTCAATTTTGCACAATGTTGCACTAGAGAAAGGAGTGCCGTTGGCTGTGCCGGTGCAACGTGAGGACCTGATGCCCGGGGAACAATAATGAGGAGAGACTGCACAAAGATCCTGTACAGAGGAGACAGGACCTTATCAATGGATTCTGACATGTAAAGTATAAGTTTAGAAAGTGCTCTTGTTGTTTAATCAGTGATAAAAATCCAATAGAAATCCACAAAAATGTGCCTCAGGGGCAGCAACACACCGTTTAGTGACATTGATAATTATTTTTGTTCAGCCTCTGTCAGACTCTCCTGTCCGCTCTACATTACAAAGACGCAACAAATTAAAACTAAATACTTTCGATAATAGGAGCAACGTACCCCGTGTCATACCAATAAAAAATATGAGGCATGTATGAGATATTAATTTATCATCATGAGCAACTTATTGATGAATGATTTATTCAAACTTCAGCTACTGTCCACTATTCTGCGGCAGGGCTTTTAGCGCCACCAAAATCCTGCTCCAGACAGGAGTTTTCTGGACTGCTTTTATACCAGTTATGATGCTTCCAAAGAGAAAATCCTTGTTAGTTTCCACCACAGACGTGAGGATATCCACTTTCAGCTCGGAAAAGTTTAGATTCTTTCTAATATTTCTCCTCTTTCATGTTTGACCTGAGTGGGCAAGGCTTCTGAACCATGAATATTTAAGGGCGTAAACATGTTAATAACAAACGATTACAGCCGCCGCATTTATCAAGACCCCATCATACGTACGCTGGGATTGGTCAGATACGAACCCTTTCATAAATCTCATGTGTGTCCTATTGTAGGATGAATCCTGTGCTCAGATCTGCGCAAGATTGATAAATGAAGGCCACTGCCCCTTGCTGAGGTAAATGTATAGGTAAACGCTGGTGTGGTTTTTATTTATTTTCTAAGGTTGGAATATATGGTTTACCACGCCTGAAACATTTAAGTTGTGGAGTGGAGGGTCATCTGGTCTGATCATATCGGAAAACATGAAGCACATCATCAAGCATGCTGCTGTTTGCTGAGGAAAAATGTTAGCTGAGGTAAACGCTGGCGGGATTTTTTTATTTATTGTTTATGATTTTAAATACTTCGTTTTCGCCA